CTTTGGTGATCCGCTGTGCGTTGCGAGTTCCTGGGACCTTCTTTTATAAGCCTTGCCCAAACGATCATTTGAAATTGGCACCAAGAACTCTCTTGACCTCCTCCCAGCATTTCTCATTGCCAGTCCCGAGTTCCTGTGGCAACAGGCTGCTCAAGTACCACCTTTCCAGGATTTTAGCAGCATCAAAACTTTATTCGGAGCATGAGAGAATAAGACTGAAATGGATATTGAATTGAAAATATATTCCCATAAAAATATTGGTGCCAAGATTGCAGCAGCTGTATATACAAAAGTATTTGCTGTCATTCAGTTTCCAGAAAAGTAGACATACTCTCAAAATCCAGATTTCAAAGTATCTGAAGGTGTGAGGATGCCGGACTTGCATGTGTTGAAATCCAAGCAGGACAGAACACCACGACAGCAAGCGGAGGCCAAGCAGGCAGTTGCAGCCACTGAAGTTCTCCCCACGCTACTCCCAGCAGCCAACACACCTGTGCCAGTTTACAAACTGGCACAGAAAAAGGAAATGGAAAACAAGAAGTTACCAACCATCCTCTCAATTGGCCGTTAGGTTATCTGCAAACAATTCTGATGAGGAACCAAGGAACGGAGCGCTGTATGATCACGTAACAGGCAGCTGTAAGTTCTCAGACTCATCCCCCACTCTCATTTTTGCCTTCCTTTTTTCCCACGGGACATGAAATCCCCAAATCCGCTGGTTCCCGCAGGGTAGAAGCAGCGGTGTGGGCTGCACCAGCGGCTCTCCTCACTGCCAGCAGGAGTTAAGAATACCCAGCCCCTGTGAGCAAACACCTTCTGCCTCTCTCGCACGCTTCGCTGCCAAACTGTTCATCTCGCAGACAAACAGGAACTGGCTTTTCTGCTTGCAGGGTGTTTATGCCTTGCATTATTTAGTTAAGGCCCTATCCTGCTCTCATCATGCTCAGGAACAAGCCATTACAGTTACACTAAAGGCAGAGGGTCCAGTCCTTGGCTGAGGAGCTGCCCTGGACAGACGCCGCTGTCACAGGGTTGGCAGGGGCAAACATCCCTGTTCCCTGCCTCTCTCTGCTTCCCCACACCCATTCCGTGTAACAAGAAGGGCAGAGCCCCCCTGAGCTCTGGAAATGGTGTGGGCTCGCCCCCCTCCAGAAGAGCAGACGTCAAGACACAGCTCATGGCTATCCCTAGGTGCGACCAAGAAGCCAAATAACAGAAGGCCATTCTGAAGGGATGGAGAGCAGCAATTCCAAATTGACAACGGCAAATGCAGACGAGCTTCACGAGGCGGGTCAAAAGCGTCAGCTCTTTCAGGAGCATAACAGCTTCGCTGCAGCTAACCGCATCCGTAGGGAACCCCACTACGGGGCTGGGGCAGGCACCTCCGCACACAGCGCAAGGGGCTGCCACGCGTGTGCCCGGCTTCCAACGCCTCTCAAAGCACGCTTCCGAGTCAGCACGTCACACGACAAACTACACTGCTTCAGGTAATAGTATGACCTATGGGGCTATGCAAGATCACTGGCCAAAAGAGCCGTCGTTCAAAACCACGGTATAAAGCTTCCATTTTCTGTCTTTACAATTCTTTACCACTACAGCATCTTTGCTAATCAAGATTTTAACGTAGAGATATGCAGTTATGTCCATCTGAATACACAGGACATATCCCATATGCAATTTGGCTTATGACTGACAACTGGCTAACTCAATCCCACCTAGAAATTAATTCACACCTTTATTTAGATTTGTCAAATAATTTCCACTACAACCCCACAGTGTGGGTAAAAGCCTACACTCTACTGAAATAATTGCTGTATTACCCCCTGACTACTGGATATAATCCTGATACATCTCTCACTTAAACGAAGTGAAATAGTAGAGCATTACTTCCAGAAGAGGCAGCGAGCTCGTATTCAACGGGAGCACACCTTAAACACAACAACAGCAGGCGTGCAAGTGTTGGATTTTACTGACAGAGAAAACAGAAATTAAAGAGGAAATTTAGGAATGTGCCAAATGCAAGTAAGTTTATTTTCATGTGTTCACAGCAGGACATTCTCCTGCTGCTCAGAAGTATCATACAACGGGTTTACTATCACCTCTGAGTAAAGATGGACGCTGTTTTCTGCACTTCAGTAGTCTCTCTGGATTTTTACTTTTCATTTACTGGAAAAAATCTGATGCTGCTTCCGGAATTAAAGCTTCCCCTGGGGTTCAACAGTTCACACGGTGACGGTTTCTGAATGCCTGCTACTTGCTCATAGTTTCAACTACCTAAGTTTTATAAAGGTCAAACATGTTTCTTAACAATGCTGAAGCCAATTTACAGATACCAAAACTAACCTAAGAGATTAAATACAGTCAGACAAGTTAACCTGTCTAATTTCAAGTCCATTATTATCTTTATGATTACATATATATTCTGCCTGTGCTCTGTAGTCTATGAAACAGTGCTTCCAGTTTACAAAAGCAAGCAATGCTAATTGTTTGTTAACATGCGGTTTCCATCTATGTTTATTTTATGGATATTAACCTGAAATTAAGTCAACACAAAAGAAAAAGAAAATAATCAAGTATTTTCAGAGGCAACACAAGCCTGAATTCTCCTGACAGCTGCTGTGCTTTTCCAGAATTTTAAGATATATTGCTGTTTAATTCTGTATGCAAAAGAGAGAAACCAACTTTTCAGGGAAAAGCATGGCTTTACCTGTGCTGGGTATCGATTTGTGACGTATCAATCTAACTCAGAAACAAGATAACGGGTACAGGTTGCATACTTCAAACACTTCAGCACCAGAACTCCCATCCCTGCCACCTTAATTCAGAGAGAGTTGGCAGAACACATCCAATCTCGCTCAGCAGACACTTGCAAGCACACAGAGGCAGCCAAAAGCTCCCCCACCGTGCACTTCTGTACGTAGCACACAAATCTATCTTTAAGAAACCAAGCATCAGACAGACCCACGGACCTTACTCCTCTTGAGTGTGTCAAGATACCAGGAAAAGAGTGGACAAACACCTAAAAAGCAAGTTACACGTCACAGTTGCAATGCCATAGGTCTCAGAACCATCCTTCAGTTCCCCAACCCAGCCACTGGTACTGAAGCAAGCTGGGCCTGTGAGGGCACCACGGCGAATTCAGAGGGGTCTGAAGCTTTTGGTCCACTCGGTCACAGAGAAACAGGCAACAGCTAGCGACCTGGGGGAGTGAATCCTGACAGGGCACATGCTCCAGGTGCGCCGCAGCCGTGACACTCGCTGCTCAAAATAGCACAAAATAATTTGAAAAGCAACAGATAAGGATGTTGGGTGTAACTTGAATTTAACGTAAGTAATAAAAAAAAAAATTAAAGAAATGTAATTTTTAAATTGATGATGAAATTGAACTTTTAAATCACCAGCAGTCACAAAAGCAAGTGAATCATCTTAATTCTCACCAACAGGCAGACCCAAACCAACTGGGGACACATAGCTGCGGCTGAAGGACACTGACGGTTTGTAAAACGTACCCTGTGGAAGCACGATACTTCTGGTGGAACAGGATTTGTTTCCGGAGATGATTAAGACATCTTTGAGCACAGCTGTAACCATGTGCTAGAAGCATCTGCTGTGCCTCGGAAACCCTTTCTGAACTCTGGGCTGATCCTCTAAACCCGACGTTCAAAACTTGTTTTGAAGGAATTACCTCCCCACCCTCATGTGAAAAAAGCGACCCCTCTTAATTCCTTTGCCAACTGTCGTATAACACAGCAATCCTTAAATACTCCTGTGCTGTTTTCAGTTGTAGTCCACATATGTTAACTACGGCGTAATTACCAGCCACTGCTCGCCTGCAATGGCCCTCAGAAGGCTGAGGGTAATTGCGTGTGCAGAGCCAGATGCACAGACTGCTGTCTGCCCGTGGAGCACAACAAGCGTAAAGACTCCACCATTTCAGAAGTACGTGGCAATTTTTGCACCACTTAACAGGTATTTGATGGAATGCTAAAACAAAGCTGTCCTAGGGAGATGTCTAAGCATAAAACCTCTCTGCAGAGAGAAACATTTTGTAAAGGACACACACCGAAAGGTTTTGTTAAAGTCTCCTCATATTGGTCCGTTACTCCACAACGACCGTCTCAGAAGGCAGTCTTCGTTTTCGGTTGAAGTGCACAATACTAGCTTATTTCAAATGCAGGACTTAAGATTTGAGGCACCACTGGTGTAATTACACCTACCAATTTCTTTAACCCACTGAAGATCTCCCCAGTCCTCCAGGTGCACTGCCCTGCGTTGCATTTACCACGAGAGAATGACACTGCTTGCAAGATTCGTGGGTATTTTCATGCAGAAAACATGCCCTAAAAAATGTCAGTTTAACAGTTCTCAGACACTTAAAAATTAGCTGTTTGGAATCACGTACTCCTGTTCGGTTGAACATATTCATATCTTTGCTATAAAAAAATATGGCTCTATCAACTGCTGCTTTACGAGCATGTTATAAACCAGTGATAGGACAGTGCGACACAGGACTTATCTGCTGTTTCATCAGGAAGCAATTCCCTCTGGCATTAAGATGTGACATAAAACCTTTTAATATATTGAGCAATTCCATTAAGTTCTCTGTAAAGAAAGCAAAATACAGCATGAAATACAAAAGCTTTTAAAACACGCCAGGGAGTTTCAGTGGGAAGGTAACAAATTATGCAAGCCACAGGCCTGTATTACACATTAAAAATGTTGGCCGAGACATTAAACAACCACAGAAACATTTTTATATAATATGATTTAAGGTCTATTGTTCAAGAACTCAAGAGCAAACATTTACTCTTTTCTGATTAATATTAGCAAGTCTAAAAAACAAAACAAAACAAGGCATTCTTCTCTTCTGTTGCCTAGGTAGAATTCAAGCATCACAGCTCTTGCCACAGAATACCTCCAAACAAAGCGCAGCCAAGTTGTGCCCGAGAGATTAAACACCAGGAAAACTCTGCACAGCAGAGGTTCCCACTTTCGGAACTCTACTTTTTCCCGCTTTTGAGGGAGCTGTTGTGAACTCTCACTCTCTTCTGCACGGAAGAAGCCATCTTCATAGATGCTTTCTTCGCGAGGGACCTTTCCACAGCTCCGGGTTTCCATAGCAACAGCTGAGCATCCTCTCCACCCGTCAGCAGGGACTCATCGGCCAGGTTCCAGCAGAAGGAGCGCACGGTGGCCGAGTGTCCCCCGCACAGGGTACCCACCAGGCTCAGGCCATGGGTGCCGCAGCTGATCAGGTGCACCTTTCCTGCAGACGTTCCCCCAACCAGAAAGAGTTTGTCTGCCTTTTCGTGGTACCAGCCACCTACCAGGTACTGCAAGGTGTCGTCTCCAACGCAGACTGTGTCTCTGACATCCAGAACATGCGACAGCATTATTGGTTCTTCGGTATCTAACTGAGCAATGTCCCACCAACAAAATCCCTCATCGTGCATTGTGCAGTAGATCTGTTTATAATCCTTCCCAGACCAGCCAATAAAGCTTACTGATGAATCCGAATTGCAAGTTGATAGCAAAGCATCATCTTCGTTATCCTTGTTAATGTCGAACACATTAACCAACCCATCAGTTGACCCAGAAACCACCAAGCTGGGTTCCATAGGATGAAAACAAATTTTAGTGATATCATCATTGTGACTTTCAGAATAGACTCCCAAGGGCTCTTTAGTTGTGCCGGCGCAGTCTGTAACACCTCTTGCATCCCAAAACACCAGAAACGTGTCCTTTTCAACTTCTTCTGTTCCAGCACAGATTATGAGGTCACTGCGGTTGATATCAAAACTGATGAAAACGTTGGAAGGATAGCCGCTAAATATCTGCGCCGCTTTCTGAGTTGCTAAACGAATATCCCAGCATTTCACTGTCCCATCACTGCACGCCGAAAACACCATGCTGTCACACGCGTGTGCAAACCTGACCCCATTCAGCATCCCAGGACGGCTACTGTACTCCCGCAGGAAGTTTAACGTTTCCCTGTCGTACACCCTCATCGACTTATCGGAACACGAGACTGCCACAAAGCGGCTGCCTTCAGACTGAGCCGCTGTGGCAACGTCTATATCCAGTAAGTAAGCAGGTTCCGCACTTAGCGTGGAACGTTTTGCTATGCGCAGGCGAGCAAGCTGCTCCTCAATCTTCTCCACTTCAGTCATCTCAAATGCTATTCCAGACGTTGCCAGAAACCTGTAATAAATAAACCCAAGGTGAGTTTTAATTATAACATTCTGAAATAATATTAGCTTTAAAAATATGCGTGAAGAAGCACCTTGCACAGAGATAATGCGTGAAGTCAAAATTCAATTATCCCGCTGTCCTACCCACTACAACTTTGTTTACAGAAACCGAGAACCGGAAAGGGCTCCCCTAGTTAAGGAGTTCAGTCTCTTGTGACTGGAAGCACTACATCGTATAATCCCCTTAAAACATTAAATAGCCTGCCTGTGAATCCTGTGAAAGTCACGTAGCTAAATTTGCTTTGTTATTTTTATAAGTAAATAGTGAAGTGATATTGTCCACAAGCAGAAAGAAAATGAAGTCATTCCTTCTTAGGTAATGGTGATAATTTTTGTTCTAAAAAGTTGCTAGGAGGCACAGCCCACCAACAGCTGCATCAGTACCACCGCAGGAGACTTCCTAGGTGAACTGTTCCGCTGGGGTACAAACAAAGGCAGACAAGAAGACCAAAATTATGTGGAACTACAGCCTGAAATGGCCAGACGAGATGCATTTTACAAGTGTTTAGGTGCCCAATGACGCACAGAAACACCTGTCAGCACACCATGGACCACCTAAACCGGCTGCATGACTTCAGTGGAATTCACTGGAATTCAGCACCTTTGCCTTTTTCATCAGTTCTCCCAAGAACCTAAAAGTTTTCTGGGCCTCCTATAAAACCACGTAACGCTGGCTCTTAGTGCAGCTGCTAAAAATCTTCCCTTCGGAGGGAATTCTTTGGCACTACTGCACCTTCCTCGAAAGCCCATACTATTCCAGTAATGTACACAAATTCAGATTTTTACCAAGCAAAACCAAAATTAAACAATATTCTCTCAATCCTCTCATACATAGATTCACTTCTACAAAATGGTGTGCCCTGAATAAAAAAAGAATAACAGTTCTCCTTTCTATAACACATACGAAAATTCAATTCTGTAATTGCAGTAAAAGTTTTCATCAATTTAGAGTCAGAAGAAGTACCGAAGTATTTAAATTTAAAAGAGATACTTGCCATCATAAAGAATACATTGTTTTAGTGAGTGCACAAACTACAACCATTTTCAAAAGAAAGATGTAGGTGGGGTTTGTTAAGTGGGTATAACCATCCACAGGAGTGACTTCTGTTAAAATTACAGGTTCAGTTAGACTGCTCTTCTATGTTAAAAGAAGGAACATGGAGGGAATCAGAGCAGGTTCGAGGGGGTCAACACCCCAGTGACTTCTCACTGGTACAGATATTGCAGTTAATGCAAATAAGAGTAAAGCAGTACTCAAAAACCTCCTTATTTCCTTAAGGACTAGGCCAGCACCCAATCCTAGGTACCACAGGCATGAAAGGACCCTTTTTGAAAAAATCCAGACAGACATGGAGTAAAAATAAGGTAGACCCAGAACGCAAGAAAATATTCTCACGCCTTTCCAGCTGTCCCATCACAAATTTTTTCTGCAAATTCTTCAGGCTGGATTTTTAAGGGCTGGAATAAGAAAGTTTCCATGTATTACTTGTTTTAGGGTAATTATTTTAACGGTCCGTGAGAGACCAGCAACAAAGGAAAGCTGCTGTGACAAAACTGCACTCTGCCTTTTCTTCTTCTTGGTGGCGTTTGTAATCTCAGGGTTTTGCTTTCCCTCCTCCTATTTGGTACAGACAAACACTCCTGACGCCACGTTACACATGAGCAAATTCTTAAAAAACAGCTTAAGCAGGCACACTCATAAAAGCTTAACTCCCAAGTCACAAATAATCTCACTAAGCTATTTGCCTCAGTAATATCCTGACAATGAGGTCCCCAGGTTAATCTTCTACATCAAAGCAACCTTTCAGAGCACATCTACAAGTAATTTTTGCCATAAAACACAGACATCCTGTGGAAACTCCTTTCCCCTCTGAAGAGAAGAAGTTCAGCGTGTTTTCTGGCACTAGCCTGCATACCCACAGAGCCTGCTCCTGAGTTGCTTTTCTAGGTATGTCCTCAAATGGAACAAGCTTTTACTAGAAATATTACATAAAGCAGACTGTTCTCAAACACTGCTTGTTACACTGCTCAAACATAAAACCATTAAACTCCCATGCAAATTATTAATTTAAATTTTAAAATTAAAATATTTTAATATTATTAATAAGGACAACTTCTACTTAATCCAATTTACTGAAGAACTAAAATGGAAACTTCTATTTAAATACCATTTCAAAAACACATGCTTGCAGGTGGAGAAAGGAGTTTTCATAAACTAGCTGTCCTGCAGTGCTATGGTCACTAAAACAAATGGGTTCTCCCTGTAAACTTTTTGTAAGATAAATGTAGTTTTCCAGACTGACCTGAATTTCAAGCTCAAAATATTCAAACTTTTTATACTCAAAAGGCCAAGTAAACTCAAACAGACATGCTCCTGACAAATATCATCCATTTGGAAAGCAAGCTGCAGTTGTTTAAATATTACTGGCTTCGACAGAGAGTATTACTCTCAATGAGCAGTTTCTACAACACTCATGTCAGAGCTTTTACCGCTGGGCAGGGGAGGGCGAGGGAACTCTACAAGTACCCAGAAGCTGTAAAACGCCAGAGTCTGTAAAACCATGTTCATCAATCTGATTAAACTCAACAAGGGCAAGTGCAGGGTCCTGCACCTGGGGAGGAACAACCTCATGCACCAGTACAGGCTTGGGGCGGACCAGAAGGAGAGCAGCTCTGTGGAGAGGGACCTGGGTGTGCTGGTGGATGGCAGGTTAACCATGAGCCAGCAGTGTGCCTTGGCTGCCAAGAAGGCCAATGGCATCCTGGGGTGCATTAAGAACAGTGTGGCCAGCAGGTCGAGGGAGGTTCTCCTCCCCCTCTACTCTGCCCTAGTGAGGCCCCATCTGGAGTACTGTGTCCACTTCTGGGCTCCCCACTTCAAGAAAGATGAGGAGCTACTGGAGAGAGTCCAGCGGAGGGCTACGAGGATGATGAGGGGACTAGAGCATCTGTCCTGCGAGGAGAGGCTGAGGGAGCTGGGCTTGTTCAGCCTGAAGATCCTTCACTCTGAGGGTGACGGAGCACTGGAACAGGCTGCCCAGGGAGGTTGTGGAGTCTCCTTCTCTGGAGACATTCAAGACCTGCCTGGACAAGGTCCTGTGCAGCCTGCTGTAGCTGACCCTGCTTCGGCAGGGGGGTTGGACTAGATGATCCCCAGAGGTTCCTTCCAACCCTGACCACTCTGTGATTCAGATTTAATAATACTTTCTAGGAAATAAAATTAGCCCAAGACAGTTCTTAAGCTTTTACCCCCGAATGACACAGGTACAGCTATTCTGAAATACCAGAAAATGCTGTTCATGTTTCCAGACAGATGTGCAGTTTATACCATCAAGAGGCTGGAGGGTACAGTTTTCAATTCTATATCCACTGCAACAACTAAGAAGCCTTAAAATTACATTTGATGGCAGCCAGGTTCTTGCTAAAAACTCAGTAAAATGTCTGCCCTAGTAAGAAAGTCTTCAGACTGTGTTTCAGAATTTGTGATTGAAGGTTATATAAACAATTCATGCTCAAACTTTAGGGTGTAGCTGCCAGCCCTTCCTTTACAGGAGGGGAAGTCACTGTTGTATTTTGATGGGAAAGTTTAAATGGCAGGAATAGGATCTGTGTTAAATTTATGAGACAAATAGGAAACAATGGTCTTCCAAACACAATAGAAGATAACTAAGTATTGGACTGCAGCCACCTATAAAGCACGTGGTGCTCCGCACAGCAGAAGTGAAGCACTTCAGTTTAGCACTCCTTAACTTCGACAACACGGGTATCTGTTTTGTTACGGTCACCAAGAACCCCTTGGCAAAGTCAGTATCTTTGAAACCTTACACAGTTCGGATATAGCGTTAACAGCCTGCTGCGATGAGGAAAACTGCCCATGCTAATGTGACAAACTGTCTGACACAAGGACTTTCGATGGACAACAGCTTGCTCTTGAACCGTTCCCGTCTCAGAAGAAATGGCAGAGAGCGCACTGGCCAAAACCACTTCTTTCCCCAAGGTACCTCCTTTGCTCAGGACATGAGGTAGTTAATTAAATTCAGGTTCTTCACTTACTCCACCTCACAGTGGTCCACAGCCTGGATCTATTGAGTACAATCTCACCACAGACAAAATCCAGGTGATGTTAAGGTACCAGGAAAACAGCCCCACCTCAATGACACATGAGTGAAGCCCACACCCCCCCCCCAGTGATCACCATTCCTCGTATGCAACAGCTGCATCTCTCATCTGCACCGAACAAGGCAAAGCCACCTTTCACAAATTAACCCTGACACTTCCATGGTAGTGTATCTAATCCTCTGGAACTCCATTCATGTGATCTTTTCAATGAATTAACTTCACAGCTAGATGCAACCCCTGCACACCTCCTTGGTATTATAACTACCAGAAGCAATAAGCTTCTTGAAAGACACTCAAAACTCGTTACATCTTGGGAACTCAGAATAAGTACAGCACTCTGAAATAACCTAAAATATTTTGACCTCCAGGGCATCCTACAAGGCTCCTTTAAAAAAGAAATCAGCTTGATTTTTAGAACAGAAGATACAAAGCGGAAGGGATGCCAAAGAGGAAGGACAAGATTTTCAGAAGTCTTTGTTATGGACTTCTCACTACTGGAGTGTGGAAACAACCATACAGCAAGACTAGCAGCAGTCAGTCAGGAGTGCCCAAAGCAGGCCTTTCCAACGACAGAGAAATGAAAGGTAAGCACCTATCTGTGCAAACTAAACATTTAATATCATCTCAGCACATACTGCTGTGCTCTTTGCGCAGTATTCTAACCATCGTAGTCTCAACTCCAGCCAACAGGCTTGTGAGTCTTCTTTAATCCAGAAAGTTTCTCAAAAAATAAACCAGCAATTCACAAGTTATTGTCCTCCTTCTTTTAGTTGTGTATGCAAGATGCTGCCAAATTGCAT